ATCCAGGTAGAGCTCAGGCAAGGGCAGAGTAAGCTTCTTATGTGCTGGCCTACCCAGGTGCCTTAGCCCTAACCCTGGAGGGGGGTGCTCTCTAAGGCTGAGAGAGGGGCGCAGTTTGCACCGTCATATTGCATCCTTGACCCTCTGCCAAAGCACCAGTCACCACAGGTTAGCCCGACTGATGGACAGATGGATTGGTGTCCAGCCAAGTCGGATCGACAAACAGAGAGCCAGCCTGGGCTGTGATAAGCAGGGCCACTGCGGTCATGTTTCTTGGCCACGTAGAGACTTGTCCACTGGGGAACAGGGCTGAGGTCCATCAAACTCATTTCACATCGGGGCTCGCAGCAGGTCTGGAGGGGGAAGTAGAGGGTGGGGGAGATGGGCCTCTTCCTGACTGGAATCCTCTGGCCTGCTCTTTAGTGTAATGTCAGAGTGGCTCATAGGACTGGAAATGGGGAAACCCATGGGACGCTCATAGGGGGCCTTCCCGGCTGGAAGAACACCTCAATCAGACTCATCTCGAGTACCCACCACACAACAGAGGACAGGGGCACCTTGTGGCAGGAATCATCTCTGCTCCACTGCTGAGGGCTTCTGTTGTTCTGCCCCTGCTCCCTTCTGCCTTCAAGCCGTTGAGAGCCATTGTGCCTCTCATCTGGTTGGTTTATTGGCTCATTTCCCGCTATGCCCTTAGCAATGCTCTGGAGGCATACGTTACTGGAACAGTGCCTCTGGGAATCAAGCTGGTGGAGCCCATAGGAGGAAATGGAGCAGCCTATCATTCTATCCCGGGCGTGCTGGGAATGAGTTAGAAGAGCGGACTAGAGCAGTAGTATTTTTCCATTGCTAAGTAAGTGTGAGCCGCTATCTAGCCAAACCCCGGCAGGGTGGCTTTGTATTGTTATCCCTGCTATACAGATGGGGAAACTGAGGCCCGGTCTGCACATTGACAGCGCTCAGCGGTTGTGAAAAAAAATTCACACACCGAAGTCCATAGCTGTGCCGACCTAGTCCCAGGTATAGACACAGCTAGGCTGATGGAAGAATGCTTCCGTCAAGCTAGCTACCATCGCTCGAGGACGTGGAGTTCCTACCGCAATGAAAAAAACCATCTGTCGCTATTGGGAGCATCTACACTACGGCACTACAGCAACACAGCTCCAGGTCCGTAACTGTGCCCTTGTAGTGTAGACGTGGCCTGGGGTTCAGAGAAGTTAAAATGATTTGCTTAAGATCTCTATCCCCTGTGTGGAGAGCATGATATAATGGCAGAGTCAGGAGACCATCTTTCCTCTGAGCTGTTTCTAAACCAAGTGGCAGAGCAAGAGAGCCAGCCCTCGATCCATGTTAAATGCCTGTTACACATTCTGAAAGCGTAAGAAACTTGCCTGGGTTCATGCTTTGTTGCAAACATGTCACTCCGCCCAGATTCCACAGAGGGGTTGCCAAGGTTCCCAGTCTTGGGGCCAGTTGGTGATTTTGAACCAAACCCCTGTAAAACCCACAGTGTCAAATGCAAACCTGGATTTGGAGGTGGGGTGGAGGGGCATAAGGCCCTCCATGGGCTGCATCCAAATGAAAAGTTCACAGGGACCGAAACCCTGACACTCACCCAGTTCATCCCAAGTTCGAATGGTGGAGTGTGGGTGATGACAAGAAGTGGATTTTATGCCAGGAATTTACTTGCCTCAGACACTCGGGGTGGCCTTGTTTTCTCCACTAGCCCAGGGCATTCAGGAATCTAGCATTAGTGTGCATCTGGGGCCCATGCCACTGTAGGCCAAGCCAAGGTGTGCGGGGTCAGATCACCTGTGCCACACGCTGCACACCTTCTCCCAGTTGCCAGGAGTCCGGGCTGGACTTTCTACAGCCACCTGTCCCACGATGTCACAGCAACCAGCAGGAAAAGAAACCTCCATGGAAGATGTTGAAACTTCAGCTGCAGTGCAGGGTTTCGGAGCCTAATCCCTTCCCGCTTTTGTGTTCAAGCGCCCTTGGAGCCAGTTTCTGCCCTTGTCTGGGAGGTTTAAGAATGATCTATTCAGGGAGGAAGCCTCTTTCTTCACACTTGTAATCCTGTTATGTCTACAACTTCGCTGCCTGCCAGACACAATGAGAACCAGCCTACAAGGGATTACAAGATGGGATTGGAGCGCTCAGCGCCGAGAGGACACAGCAGCCCTTTGTCTGGCTCGCTGCTTGGCTTGAGAGGGCCTTGCTGCACGACGCCCCATTGTGATGCCTCTTCACACAGAGAGATTCCTGAAGCAAGCTTCCCTGTCCTACCCTTTATAGAGCCGGCTTACAAACAGGTCCTGGTAACTGGTCAGCCAGGCAGCCAGTGAGACATCTTGCGGCAGTGTCAGCATCTGAATTTATAAGGTTGCCCAAACAGGCCTACAGGGGACAGTTTGTCTAGTGGTTAGCGCACAGGCTTGGGACACAGGATTCTAGGGTTGCAGCTGACTTGACATGCGAACTTTGCGGGGAAAACGTCACTTCTCTAGCTCTCTGTTTCCCCCACTGAAAACAGAGATACTATTTCCCTGCCTGCAGTGAATATCATAAGGCTGAATGGACAATAGTGAAACATTTTCGGGTGAGAGTTGCCGTAGAACCATGCAGTATATTTCTTTGTGTCTGCAAAAACTTGTATTCTGTTACTCAGAAATCCCCCGGCACTATATTGACATGGCATTCTGTTTATTAAGGGTCAGAGGGCTTGATCTCTGCTCACTGGTGTTATTGAGATCACATTCAGGCTCAGTGGTCCAGTGGTCTGAGAGGGGGCCTGCCTCTTCTCTTAGAAGGGTGTAAATCAGCAGCACCGCCAAAGCCAGTGGAGTGACAGTGCTGTGACACGGATGGAAGAGAAGAACCAGGCCCGGGGACTCAGCTGCTGGGTTCTCCTCCAGCCCAGCTCCGCAGCTCTCAGGCAAATCACAAAAGACAGCGTTTCCACTAATCTGGGGACTCCGAAAAATGGAGGCACCCCAAATCAGTGGCCACTTTTGAAAATTTGAGCCTTCCTGTCTCTGGGGCTCAGATTCCGCAGCGATAAATCTGGGACAACAAAGGTGGGGCCAGGCCTGGATTAACCAGTGTGCACTCAGTGCACTTGGACAGGGCCCCCATCTCACGGGGGGCCCTGACCACTGGCTGGGGGTGACCGTGCGGCCTGGCACATATGGTCACAGCACCATTCCAGGTTTGGCTTGGGTCATATAACCGGGGGCAGATGAGAGGAGAGGGAGGGCAAATTTGAGTGAAGGTGGGGGCCCCCAATTTCAATAGTGCAGAGGGCCCCAAAATTCTTTAATCCAGCACCGGGAGATGATTGCTGTCTCTGGCCTAGACATGTATGATTGCATCTACAATCACATGGACTCGGCCTTGGGGTTTCTTCTTAACTCTCCTCCCTCACCCTCAAGCCGTTCTAAATGGGGACCGTTTGAGCTGCTTCCCTGGCAGCCAAATGCCCTGTCATGCGATTTCTCACCACAGCCTTTGGAAAGCACTATTAAGAGCCCTTCTCTGCCTTGGTTGAGCTTGTTTCTCAGGCAGCGTGACAGGATGAGGAGGAAATGTGCCAGGAATGGCTCCCTCTACTCTCCATAGAGTTGGAGTCTATTTTTAAACATCCCCCGACTCCCCTGGGACTGCAAAGCAGTTGGAGGTGTGGGGACGCTGCTCACAAAAAACTCCCAAGCCAAGCTGAATTCCAGTTCAAAGTCCCGAAAGGGCATGGAGCGACCCAGGGAAATGCAAGCCATGTATAGGAACCTGGACATCTTGTGCTCACTGGGGTCTGTGAGCAAACAAATGCTCCACCCCACAAACACGTACCATGCAAACACACAGCTCCCCTATCACACACACATTCAACCCACAAACACGTACCACACCCCTATCCCCCCCCACACACTTCTGCCCCACAAACATACCATGCAAACACACTGCTCCCTATCTCACACCCACACCCCTCCTCTGCATACACTTGTGCCACACACTTTCCCCCTTATGAACACAAACCATACCACCCGCCCATATGGACACAAACACAACCCACACACACGGATATATAAACACACATCTCCCCCTCTCAGACACCACACACTTCCATCTCACACACAGATACCAAGACACACAAATAGCCTACATATAGAGTGACACCAAAGTACATCCCTCATTCACGGACACACAACCAGCCTTGATTAATAGTGTCGTTATTGGGGTGGTTCCTAGAGGCCCCATTGAGCTATTGCCCACACACAATGGAAAGTTGATCTCAGCCCCAAAGAGCTTGTGTAACCCCGACAGACCCGGGTCGTCGGCAGGCGGGATCGAACCTGGGATCTCTGGAGCTAAATGCATGAGTCTCTACTGCATGGCTCTTAGCAAAGGCTGTGGGAGACTCATTAATCTCTAAGTGGTCTCCGTGTGGCTAGCGGGGACAGAATACCACACCCAGGAAGTGAGTGGGTTACATTTGCAATTAGGAAACAGCTGGTGGTTACAACAAACAGCCAAGGGCAGCACAAGGTAACAGTGAGGCAACCTTGACAGGTTTCAGAGGAACAGCCGTGTTAGTCTGTATTCGCAAAAAGAAAAGGAGTACTTGTGGCACCTTAGAGACTAACCAATTTATTTGAGCATGAGCTTTCGTGAGCCACAGCTCACTTCATCAACCGGAATGGGTGTTATAAGCAGTGTCCTCCACACACCAGCTACCTCGCCGTTGTCAAAGGTCTTGAGCCTGTCCCCGGCGGGAGAGGAGCTCTAAGGACAGGTTTAAGGGCATCCCTGGTCAGATTTTTACAGGGATGGCCTGGAAGATAGCACAAAGGTGTTTGAGGGAAAGCTGGAGGATGGGCATCATTAGCAGAACACAGGTGGGGGCCGGCTCGTTAAGCATGCAACATGATTGCTCAGGAGAGATCCCCTCAGAATGCCACAGACGGGGTTTTAAACCACAACCTTTCCTTTCTGTTTTACAGATTTTTCTACTCAAGTCAATTCCACGTCCCTGAACTCTCCAACTGGCCGGGGGCCTATGGCCGCACCTTCCCTCCATCCATCCATCGGGCCAGGCATTGGCTCCTCGCTGGGCTCTCCGGGTCAGCTCCATTCGCCCATCAGCACTCTGAGCTCCCCCATCAATGGCATGGGCCCTCCTTTCTCTGTCATCAGCTCCCCCATGGGGCCTCACTCAATGTCTGTCCCTTCGACTCCCAGCCTTGGATTCGGAACTGGCAGCCCACAGGTGAGCGGGGAGGAGAGAGCTGGGGGCTGTGGGGGAGGAGAAGGGTTTTATTTACAAACAGTGGGAAACGAAAAGTATCTTATCCACATGGATTATTAAAAAAAAAAAAAAAGTAGCAATATGCTCAAACCAAGGCCCCAGACCGGAACAGCCGGTGAGGCGTTCTGATTCCAGATCCAGTTCTGAACTACACGGATGGGATCCCTCCAGATCCGGACACCTCCAAACATGAGCAAGGTTCCCTGCGTGGTGCACCTGGACTCATGGAATTTTGTGGGGCGGTGGCTCAGTACGATCAGGGGTGGGAGCTTGGCTTTACAAACCATGTGCCTGATTCTCCTCTGGCTTACGCTAGCCTCAGCCTGGTGTACCATTGTGGATCCCAGGGGCATATACTCTCGAGCTGCACCAGTGTATGTGAGAAGAGAGTCAGCCTCCGTCATTAGTGAAAGATGTCACCTGACAGGGACGTTGTCAGGCTGTTTGCCTGGGCTTCGTGTTATTGGGCTGCAATGGGGACAGAGTCACTCGGCCATTTAAAGAACAGTCCTGGTCAACAGCAAAAATCCAGCTGAAAAGCCGACTGACGAGTACACCCGGTGCCTCTCCTACGAGCGGAGGTGGTGCAAGCACGTTTGGGATCCTTTGCAAAGCTGGTTGATCGATGTCAGCAGAGCCGACACGGGTGCCACTGAGAGCAGAAACAACTGGATTCAAGGGCTTCCATCCTGGGATGAGCCAGGAACAAAATGGGAGACAGGGCAAAAATAGCTGTCAGGGCCGGCTGGAGACCTGCCCTGCTCCTGGCATAAACTGGAGGCTGTTTTAACACCTGTGCTCATGCTGGGGCAGTCCCGACCTGTAGCTGAGAAGAGCCAGAACTATCATATGCCCCCGTGCTGGGTATAGCGCCGTTCTGGGGACCCCCTTTTCTGTATCGCCCCTATATACTGCTCCCTCTTGTTTCCCAGGCCGAATGTGTTCCCCTTCTCTTCACTGGCGGAGGGAAGGCTGGGGTTTGCTGACTGAAGATTATGTAAAAATCTCCCGCTATAAAGAAATAAGCGCCTTTTAAAAATAGCCAGAGCTGGGAGAGCCGCCCCGGCCCTGCCACCTGTTGCTGACTGACTGCGTATTACGTTGAGCAAAAGGGCAGATTAAGGGGTTGGCTACCACCTGCCGCTTGCTGTTGGTTTATTTATTTCACAGCCTCTCCGGGAGTCAAACACCTGCCAGCACGTTTATTTTTATATCGGCCTGATTTATTTTCGAGGGATAACCACTTTCTTGGCTGGGGATGGGGGGGAGTGGCATTTTGTGCACGCCTGAGATGGAGCTATAAAGTCTGGGCTCCTCTGTCCCCCAGCCCATTCATCACCCTCAGGATTCCACCTTTGTGCCCCAGAGAACAGCGTAGCGGTGCGGGGATAGACAAGAGTCCCTCTTGGGAGCCTGTCCTAAATCAACCCGAGTCTGCTGGAGTTCTGTCAGCACCGACTGTCCAAGCGTGAGAGCCGGTGCCGGAGGGGATGGAGACCTCGTCCATGTCCATGTGTCTGGTGCTGGGTGGGTCGGTGCTGCTGGTGTAAATAGCTATAGCATGTGTCTGTTCAGGGGCTGCTGGGGCCACTGGGGCCCCTGATGCCACCTAGGGCAGCCAAAACAGTTGCTCTGATTTATGGATCCTATGGGGCTTCGCAGGGTTGCAGAATTGCCAGAGAACATGCCACGTCCCCTGCCCCTGCGCTGAGTTCTCCTCCACTCTGCCAACCCCAGAACCCACGTCTCCTGGCTCCCTGCCCAGTGCTCTGTCCACTAGGCGAATCAATACATATGCCTATCCCCAGCATGGTGTCAACACTGAGCACCTTGGGTAGACAGACTGCCTTCCACCTTGAGGTCAGGAGGGGAGAAGTGAAACAACACTTCACAACTGTCTGTGGCACGAAGCCAGGGCAGTGGGAGACATGTAACAATGTGAGTGTGTGAGCTGCGAGCGGGAGAGAGTGAGAGGTTGGGATGGGAAGGGGCGACATGGCCAGAGTTTCAATGACACACCGCGGTTGTTTTAGGAAGCAGAGATGCACAAGACAGAGGAACTGAAATGAGAAGCCACGGAACAGAAAAGGGGAATTGAGAGCACATCAGATGGCGCTTAGCAGAACCCAAGCATTTACAGCAGCTCTAGACCCTGATGGTGCCTGTTATTTGCTCATGGCCTCTCTTAAATGGTTTTCCTGGAGGAGACAGTTTAAGATATTTTCAGTCTAATGGCTTTTGCCATCTGTCCCCTGTCTGTGAGCATTAGGCCCCTGTCATTGTTAGGGGCAGAAGGACTTACCTGAGCCTGCAGTGAGAGGGGAGGGAGGCAGTCCCCATCATCACAGTGTGGAGGAGGGCAGGCAGGCAGGCAGGAGAGGAATGCGATTCCCTTTGTCTTTGTACCAGCCCGCAAAGCACCGAGGTTAATGAAGCATGTCCCCCGCGTTGCAGAGGGGAGATGGCACTGATGGAAGGTGGTTTGAATCAGATGGCAGATGCCACTTGCCATCAGACTACGCCTCGTTAGAGCTGGAAACCTAGCAGACCAGAAGGACACCAAGAGGATGAGGTGTGCCGGGCAAAGAGCCGCGAAGCCACACGCCTCCCAGCCCCGCTCGCTCTCCTTTGCAAAGTTTGTTTTGTTCTCTCCCCCATGGAACATTCTGTCCCTGCTGAACATATGCTGGTGCCCGTAAGCTTTGCGGATGGGCCTAAAGAAAGGCCAAGGGTTGGGCCAGCAAGGGTCTTCCCCAGACTTCCTGTAGTGCTGGACTGGGCCAGAGCAGAGTGTTTCAGGAGGAAGGGAAATGACGTTTAGGGCAAACAGGGCTGTAGCTTCCAGCTGCATCCAGAGGGCAGAGCTTGGCCTCTTTGATGTCTTTGGGGAACTCGAGGAGCTGGTAGCACTTGGCTTAAGAGCTAGGCATAGTGCAGGCAGGGGTCATACTAGTTTCCCATGCAGCACAGTTTGCCAGTACCCCTCACTCTCCCCTTCAGCTCCCTCTGCTATTCCAGGCCTGTTGATGCACCTCACTTCTAATCTGCACTTCAGTCTCGGCCGGCTGTTCCAGGTCTGGGGCCCCCTGCACAGCTCTACTGATCTGGCCTGCAACATTCCTGATTGTCCCTCTCGTGAGTGATCCAGAAATAAAAGGGAGTGAGCAAGTCAGTCTTGCTGGAGCTATGCCTCACGCTTACTGGATTCTGTCATCCAGGGATCCCAAACTGGTTTTCAAATACTCCAGCCTCAGAGAGCACCCTCCTGTGAGGTTGGTACCATCACCTCTATTTTAGCAATGGGGAAACAGAGCACTGAGAGGCCAAGACGTCTGCTGCAGGCCACCCACAGCAAGATTGCAGAAGATCCCAGGGCAAGATTATCGAAAGGGCTCTCTCTTGCACGCACACGTATGTACATATGACATCGAAAGGGCTCAGCATCCAGCCGTTTCTATGGTGATATCCAATGTGTTGAATTCTCATGAAAATCCGGTCTGATAGTAAGTCCGTGGCAGTGCCAGGAATTGAACCCAGGAGTCCTGATAAACAGATCAGGACTTAGCTCTTTTTAAAAAAAATTGTGGGATCGTCATTTTTTTCTTGAAAATCCCAGGAATCTCTGAAGAACATATAAGAGAAAGAAAGAAAGAAAGAAAGAAAGAAAGAATTACATTTGAGTATATTTCATAATCCCTTCTTCTGCTCACTTCAGTTCCATTTGCAGGACCTAGGTGCAAAACTGGAGAAGCAGCAGCAGCCTATAGGACTGTGGCAGACCCCCCCAGGCATTTCTTGTAGCAGCTCTGCGGATGCCTGGGGAAAGCGAGGACAGATCAGACACAGTTAGGCTGTGGCGTCTCTCTCAAAGCGGTCTCATTCCTTCAGACACAATTTATTCTTTTTAAGGACATCTGTGGACTCCGTGGCCGTTTTTACACCTGGCTGCTATCGGGCCCCAACAGAGAGGACCCGGATCCCCAGAGCTTAAAACAAAGTCAACAGTAGAGAGAGGAATGGAACCCAGGAATCATGATACCCAGTAACTTGTTCCAATTGGTAGGCAATGCTGCCCACTTCCACTGTGAGCTAACTCAAAGCACTTCCTTGTTATCAGCCCTGTGGCCCTCCGTTGCGCACACTGAGCTGAGTTTGTGCTCACCAAAAGCAGAACTAGGTTCCATATGGCGACGAGGGTGAAGCTTTGGGCCAGGCTGGCTGGTTTTCTCACTACCCCAGCTTCAGACTTTTGTTCTGCAGCCTTAAACCCAAGAGGAAGGAGCAGTATGCGCCAGGGGAGAGTGTGGGAACCAAGAGGTGCACGTGTAGCCTGCCTGTGGTTTCGGGCAGCCTCTGAAAGAGGAAACAGAGGCGGTTCCCATTCCCATGTGCTGACTCAGCAGCTAGTTGGGGCTCCTGCTGACTCATGGGGGAACACTCCCTGTATCAGTTTCGGGTCCCAGCCCCTAGGGGACGGGCAAGCGAAGAACCAGGGACTGCTGACCCCTAGCCATGTGCCAAGGGGGACAATGGGGCTTTCCACTGGATCTGCCCTTTATACCAGCCTTCCCTTCCCTGCCTATATTCAGTCCCCTTGCTCTCTGCAGTCACACTGCACCAGCCCCCCAGAAATGCTCGGTCTGACAGTGCTAGTCTCTCTCACCCCCTGAAGTCAGAAGGACATTTGGTTTCTACATGGAGTGAGTGATTAGCTCAAAGTAGGGGAGCACTGGAATCAACTGGTGACTTCTCCCCTGCTTGTTGAAGGTATCTGCTGCCCAGCAGTCAAAGTGGGCACGCTGTCTGGATTTTCTTCACTGCTCCTGGATGTCCATACAGCCAGAAACATCTTTGACCACCTTCAACTGCACCATTCCTCTCCAGGGCAGACCTAGTAACAGCGATTCTTGGTACCTGCAGCCTGGACCACTGAAATGTGCTCCCATCTGGGCCTGATTCTA